TTAATAAATTCTAGAAAACAATTTTCTAGATGATTTGTTTAAATAATTGTTTCGATTGATATATTAAATAATTCGATATTTTATATAGAATTCTATAAAAACAGTAACAAATAATCGTTGTCGATGACATTACACTTTTATTATTTTCTTCGTTTTTTGTGTACTCAAAAAGTTCATACACTCTAGAATCGGTCAGTGTATCCGTCCGTTTACACGATAACTCTTCACAATTACATTCAATTGAGCTGAAATTTTGTGCACAGCATTGTCTCATCAATATCTCAGTCGAATTCGAAAATGAAAAGGATCCGTCAAGAAATGGCTGAGTTATCGAAAAAATTGTCATTATTGACCAGACCATCCCTGAGGGGGGGATACAGGGATTTTTGAAGTACACATAACACTCGGATTTAAATCCGAGGTTTTCGCATTTATTTTTTTTAAAATTAACTTACCAGCATCTTCTTTTCTAGTAATTAATCGTTTACGAAGAAATAATTGACGATAGGTACCAGTATGTGCTTGATCTAAAAAATTTAATAATTAGTTTGAAATAATCATATTTGTTTAATTTTCTTTCCATAACGATGACAGTTGGTTTCAAATTGACAAAAACAACTTGTGGTATATATTTACCAGCATGTGTTTCAATGAAGAAGATGTTGAATGAATCATCACCTCTACCAATAGTTTCATTTAACGGTATTTGTCCATCAAGTTGAATTCCATAGTCTAAAATAAATAATTTACAACATACATTACCTATTTGAACATCAGCTTGACCACCATGAATTGAGATACATTGACGCACGATCTAAAAAAATAATTTGTTTACAAGTAACAAAAGAAATAAAAGAAAACCTACTGAGATGAGCAAATTATATGAAAATCTGTAATAAAGAAAAAAACATTTCATTGAAAATTGTTGAAATTATCCTTTATATTTGTCGTATTGGTCGTTATCGAAGCAAACCATGAAATAGGGTTTGCCCGAACATGATCAGTGCTTTTATTTTTGCCCTTCTGACTAAGCTCACCGCTATATGATGCGGACTCCGACATTTGAGGTCGGATCCGCTTAAAAGAAGCGGTGAACTTACTTGGTATTCTGATCGATTACCGAGCTCAACTTCTCAAGGAAGTTGTTAATGATCGTCTTTAGGGCACTGAGCTCGGATTCCACCGAACTTATCCGCTCGCCGATCGAAGTCTCGACCGAAGCAAGCCGGGTATCGAGCTTGCCGATCGAAGTCTCGATCGAAGCAAGCCGGATATCGAGCTTGCCGATCGAAGCAAGCCGGATATCGATATCGACGAGCTTCGCCGCTATCGGCAAGGCGACATCTTTCACGGCCTCGCTTCTTTTCTCATCAGTCGTTTTTGGATCAAACTAAAAAAGAAAACACAATTATTTATTACATTTTAATTTTCAAAAAAAAAACATTTTGTCCAGGGTCCTTACTTTATCTTT